ATTCAAAGCTTTTGGCTACAGTTGTTATTTCTGTTTCAGAGTCAGGTGATGGCAGTGTTCTGATCAACACAAAACAAATGATGCTATGAAGAGAAAGCATGGTATTTCAGAAACATAGCAGTCAGAAAGCGCTGAAAACAGACGGCCAGCGGCTGCCAGCCAAGCGTGGAGGCTGGCATTCACCTCTAGGGCCTGATGTGAATTGACCTGAACTTCTGCAGGGCAACCCGGACGCAGGACCCTAAACCTGCACTCGGGTATGCACGTTGGTGAGGAGAGTCTACCTCTAGGAATTTATCCTAATGCACTGTTAAATGTGTGCAGAGAAAAAAGCTGTAGGGATGTTTAGCACAATGTTATTTATAACAGTGCAATATTCAGTCACCTGAGTGTCTAGTAGCAGAAGGTTGACTATTTAAATTCTGTCTCTCCTGTGGAATCCCATTCTATTAAAAAGATTTTAGCAGAATAATCAGGAAAGAGGCCCGTGATACTTTAAGTGAAGGAGCAGATTCCCAGGCTGGTTGGTTTATGCCCTACTGTGTTTATGGTGGACTTTCACGTATGGATTCCAAGCATGCACATGTGCTCTCAAAGGGACGGGAAGAGCAAGGGCCAAAAATATTTCTCAGTTCCTGAAGATGTTTGGCTGGGTTCTGAGACAATTTTCCTCTTTTTTACTCATCTGTGTTTGAAATTTTTTTCGACAGTAAATGTGTCACTTACGTAATAAGGGGGGAAAGTAACTTTAAAAACATCAATCTTCTAATGTGCATTAATTTAGAACAGGAGTTACACTGTACTTTGGGGGAGTCATATGAATCTGAAAAGGGAGGCAAGGGCATTTATATTCTCTCCTTGCAGCTTGGGGGAAAATACCTCAGCTTGTTACGTAAGTGAATCTCTGAAAAAAGCTCTTTGGCTTCCCAAGCATCACGAATTGGAGTTTTACAGTAAGTTACTTCCTGGCAATATTAAGGCGGAAGCACTCACCTGACATACAAATCCACCCCATTATGAAAATAGCCCCTTTCCAGAAAGTCCCCTTTTCCTTCCACAAATCCACTTGTAGCATCTTAACCAGGATGCTTCTTCCACTTCGCCTGAATCCACAGTCCCACTGGAGCAGTGTAGCAAGAGCTGGCCTGAAATCCACTTCGATCCTCCTTGCTCCTCAGCCTGCAGCGTACCGAAGGACAGGCGTGCACTGCTATCGTAGGGTGGAATGAGAAGGGGCAGGGGGCTCCCCAAGGCCCAGCAGTAAGCCAGAGACACAGAAACACCTTACAAACGCATTTCCTCACGCCCATTGGCGCAAATCTCTCTAGTCTGTGACAATTAGAGTGTACCTTGAGCTGCAGCAGGGAGAAGATCTGGTTAGCAGCAAGAAGGGAAACTGTGCTTTGTTTACTGCCCTGCTGCGCAGTCCCCCCGCTGACCAGAGGCCTCTGCTTGCCCTGCGTTTAAAGCTGAGTCTCTTCTTTCCGTGTGGGAAAGACTGCATGTGAAATTATGGCTTTTTCCCAAATGTCGCTCAGCATTTGGAATAGCTTTTGTCGCAGACAGCGGAATTCTCCAAGTCTGTTTCTGTTTAGCTCTGTGTAGTCTCTAACAGGTCTCTCCTTTTTAAGTGAGATCTCAAAGGAGGGTTCTGGGCAGCCAGAAATACAGGCTACTGTGTAAAATTGACATTTGTTCTTGAAAAGGGAATGGACTTGTCACTAGCTGAGCATTTTCGGTAGGAAGTCACGGATTTTTTTTCAAGGAAAGGAGAGAGTATGAGTCAGAAATGACAGAGCTGGGTGGATAGATGGCTTTGCCTTGAGAGCAACTTCAAAGCGCCTGTTCCTTCCTGTCACTGACCCTCGGTCTCCCCGTGAGCACACCGTGCCCCTGTGGATCCATCACACCACCGCCTGCATGGAAATCCCTGGTGACTGCAGAGCCAGGAAGCAGAAACAGGCATGGGCACCTGCTGCTGAAGGGCAGCAAAGCCGCCCTCTGGAGGGGGCTGCCTTTACTCTGGCCTCCACACTGCCACGGCTGAGAATTTACCCTGAAGACTCACGCTAGAGCACCAGACAAGCCATGCACAGGTACTGCCCGTGTTCCGAGGACCACTTATTTGAAGCAGTGCGTGTCTCCCTCCCAAGGAAACCAGCTGGGTACAAAGACACAGCGGCAGAACTAAGCACAGGAAGACATCTCTGAAGTGAAAGGGGGGAGTCCACTGTCGACAGGATGGTGCAGGTCTCTGATCTTGGAAGTTAGGAGGCTGAAGCAGGAGGGTTGCTGTGAGTTCCAGGCCAGCCTGGGCTACATAATGAGTTCCATACCAGCCTGGACTACATGGTAAAACTCTCTCTCAAAGAAAAAAAAAATAGGAAAAAAGGCATATAGGATCCTATTTTTGTGAACACAGTTAAAGTCTTACATACATGGTTTTAATTTCTTTCCAAAAAGAATCAGAAGAAAAGGAAAAAATGAAATCAACAAAAATGGTTACTAGCCAGGCACAGTGGCACACACCTGCGATCTCAGCACTTGGGAGGCTGAGACAGGAGGATCACTGAGAGTTTGAGACCAGCCTGGGCTACAAAGCAAACGTGAGGCCAGCCCAAGCTGCATAAGACACTGTGTCAATGACAGACAGAGAGAGAGAAGGAGAGAGAGAGAGAGAAAGAGAGAGAGAGAGAGAGAGAGAGAGATTACTTGTAGAGTAGGAGCAGCAAGAAAGACATTCCTGACTCTACCTTTCTGTATAATTTTGATTTATGAATGATATGTTTTAAATAGTCCAATAATTTTTAAAGCTCTAAAAGTATGGGAAAATTAGCCAGAAAAATGACCTACCTAAGTCATTATCAAATTGCTTAGACAATCAGAGAAAGCAATTAATTCAAGTTGGGCAGGGGCTGCTATCACAGTGAGATGGCAGGTGTTAATTAGCAGGGATGAGGCCCTGGTTCCATCCTCAGCTAAGGCCAAAAACTCCAAAGAAACCTGGAACTTCGTTAGGTGAAGTAGGTTGAAAGGTGTCCCTTGAAAAGATTTGTGGAGGCCTCACCCCAGTACTTGTGAGGTTTGGATTTGGAAGCAGGCTCCTCAAGATGTAATAGAATTATGATGAGGTCAGACGGGCTCAGAGTGGCCAAGAGTCGCTGGCAGGTGACCTCACAAGCACAGGGAAACTCACGCACAGGGGCGCAGATACATGGAAAGGAGATATGGGCAGACACTGCACCCTGGGTCCAGTGATGCCAAGCACTGCCGCAGGTCACGGGCAATGCCCAGCAGGCAGGAGAGAGGCAGGGCACAGAGTCTGCCTTACAGACTCTGAGGGAGCCAGGCCCAGTTGGCACCTTGCTTTGGACGTCTAGCCTCAAGAGTTACAAGATAATAAATTTCTATCGTTTCTGAGCCATCCAGTATATGGTACTTTGTTACGCCATCACCAGGAGACAGGCATATGGACTTGCTCTTGGTTATGGTATGGGTACAGTCGGTTCTTGTGTTTATAAAGTAGGTCAGCATCTTACTATAGATACTGATACTGAGAACTGAGGTGTCAACAGCAATGGTTAGAAAAGCATGGTATAAATATGGAATGAGAGATGAAGAAGGAAGACCACATGTTAGGGCAACGCGCACAGGTGCTTCCTAGCTCTGTCCCCAGTAGCATCCCAGAAACAGCAACATATCAAAGTCAGATCTTGATTTATTTTATTTATTTATTTATTTATTTATTTATGGAACCAGGGATTGAACTCAGGCCCTTGCACTTGCCAGGCAAGTGCTTATTCTACTGAGCTATCTCCCCAGCCCCCTAGATCTTGATTTTTAATACTGATGTCCACTAAAGGAAGTAGGGCTCCTTAGGAAAGTCTCTGTCTCCCCATCTGGGATTGAAGACATACAAAGCATCTCGCCTCGTCAGAAAGCAGGAGAAGATTCAGAGACAGGAGGCCTACCTCAACCGAAGGGACTGTGCCTGACCAAATTTGTTGCAACTTGAACATCAGAAGGAACTTCACAGAAATGGGTTAACTAAACCAACCAGAAACCCATACTAATGAACTTTAATCAAAATAAAACAAACCAAAAACAAAGAGGGGTCTCTTTCACAGAAGATAAACTAGCATAAGTGGTAGGAACACTAGAAACCCCCATTTTGCAATTCCCAGAGGAATGACTGGGACTTGTGAAGGATCATTAGTGGATGTTAAACACCACTGGGTGAAAGGTTCATAAAAAACAGGACATTTATACCCCTCAGACAGCAAATCTGCAGTGAAAGGGAAGTTTGCATCTTGACTTTGGAGCAATCTAGTGGCTTCCAGATGAATCCATGATCAGACTTCACCAAAGAGGAAAGAGGCTAAACTGAGGCTGGTGCTGCGAGGGGATGCAGTTCGAGGGCAATTACCCGGAGGTTTTGTTGCTAGAATTGATTAACCTGCATCTTATCAGGCAGTGGGACTGTCCTAGTCACTTTCTCCTCACTGAGACCAATACCAGACATTCACAATTTAAAGGGGAGGTTTATTTGGGGTCACGTTTCAGCGCAGGGCTGGCTGGCTCCAAAGTAGAAATGGGCTGAGGGGAGACAGCCACTCATTGCAGGGCGCACAGAAAGCGGAGAAAGAAGGGCTGGGGATAAAGCCTTCCCGGCCACGCCCCTTCCAGGCCACACCCGGCCACTCCCATGACCGATTTCTTCCCACCAGACCTACCCTCTGAACAGCAGGCAGCCCTGAGCCCCCATAATCCAATCACCTTCCCAAAACTCTGGCTAATGGTTTGGCCAGTGTGAGTGAAACACTCTCCAGGGACACCCAGACCTGAATCTACCAGGGACCTGGCTCAGTTTCAAGGTGATACAGGAAGTAAAGGAAAAAGTTAAAAAGTTGCTGAGCAAGTAACAGCAAATCCACCGTGGAGGCCACTGCACAAAACAAGCCTGGATTTCCCAAGTCTGTCAAAGAAAAAATTTTGGGGAGACTCTTAGATGGCAGGGTCTAAAGTTGATGCAGGAGCAAATTGCTAGTCACAAACCCCAGCAGCAGAGAGGACAAGTGGGGACTTTGAATTTGGAGATCTGTTCTGGAGTGATTGCTGACTCTCTCGTGTGTGATGACTGGGGAGGGAAGCTGTGTGCAGGTAGTTAGGTGTGGAGACTCAGTGGGTCTGCAGTTTCCTTTCATGTGGTTTAGGGGCAGTGAAGGCAGGAGAAAGCGGAGCCCAGATAGGAAGGGTGAGTAACTTTCCAGACAGGAAGGCCAGTGGTAGAGTGCTTTCTTAGCATGCTCAAGGCCCTGGGTTCAATACCCAGCAGTGGGGGAAAAAAGAAACCCAACTGGGTATATGGGAATGTGGTTGATGGTTGGGAATGTACTAACAATCCTGTGATCGATGGTTGGGAATGTACTAACAATCAGGCCAAAATACCACCAGAGAGCTTTGCTATGCACTTGGGTCAGCTGGGGAGCTCTGTGTACCAGGACTGCTGGAATGCCACCCCCAGTGACAGGCTTCCCGTCCCCTTTATTCACTGCTAATCCCCAGAACCAGAACAAAGTCCAGATCATAGCTGGTGCTCAGTCAGCACCGTCATCCGACTGGTGAGCCATACGGAGCTCGAGGATGAGCTCATGTCTGGTTTCTGAGTCCCTTTCAGGGCAGCCTTCTGGTGGAAGGTCAGGAGCTTTTCTGCTGCTTTCCACCTCTGGCATGAAGTCACAGAAGGTTAAACTGGTTCGCAGCTAACCCGCGACTTTCTTGATACTCCTTCTAGTAAGTGGTACTAGAATTTTCTAAAAAATGTGTCCATTTCATAGATGAAAAATGATTGTTTTAGTGCTCATTTCCCCCTTACTAATGGAGTTGATTTTTAAAGGATATATTTTTTAAAAAAAATATTCTTCCTTGGCTGGCCTAATAGCTCAGCAGATTAAAGTGCCTGCTTAGGAAGACGCAAGGATCAGGGTTTGATCCTTGGCGTACTGTGCTGCCCTGCCCCTGGGGCACCGCCTGTAATCCCAGCGCTTGGGAGGCCGAAAGCACGAGGTTCACTACGAGTCCAATCTGTGTAGGGAGATCCTCTACTGAATACATAAAAAATAAATGAAATAAAATAAATTCTTCCATTATGAATAATTTTTGCACATCTTTCTCTGGTTTGGATTTTAGGATGGTTGTTTTTCCAATGCATTTGTAAACACAGTGTGCTGAGCTATTTACATGAGTATTTTGTGCATTTATTTTTTTTTTTAGAAAACAAAAGTGGAACATTTATTAATAACTCAAGAGAAACACCACACAGGTAGGGGTAAGAGATTAAAAGCAAACCCAGACTTCCACCCCAGCTATACTTCTCCAAGGCTGCATGCCCAAATGGAGTCTTGGAGAGGCCACCTGGATAACAGAGGAACTGTCAGCGACGCCTCCGGTCTGGACTCCTGCTGCGTCTTCGGCCACCTCTTCTCTTGCCCTTGGGAGGACCTCGAACAAAACACCAATCCACACTGATTGGCTGTCCCATCAAATCCTGGCCATTAAGTCCCTCCATAGCAGCCTGGGCCTCTTTGTATGTTTCATATTCAACTAGAATATACCCCTTTAAGTATCCTGTATGCCTGTCCAGGTTTAAATGGATGTTTTTTATTTCCTCATATTCTGCAAATTTGTCATGGATGTCTTCTTCAGTGGCTTCCTCATAAACTCCAGTGACAGAAAGAATCCAGCCTCTGAGAGAGTATTGTGGTCCAGGTTCATCACCGTCCTGCTCCACGCTGTTAGAATCCTCACACATCTGTGCTCAGGATCCCTCTTCAGAGCCAAAGCCGCGGCCCTTCCACTTCTTTGCCTTTTCTTTCAATTTGTGGATGCTCTCGTCCTCACCCTCATCCATGGCGAAATCCTCACCCCCGGCCTTGTGAAGATCCAGCACATCCGCCATCTTGCCTGCCTACAAGCTCTCGTCCACTGTGTGTCTATTTTTTTAAATTTATTTTATTTATGTGTGTGTGTGTGTGTGTGTGTGTGTGTGTGTGTGTGTGTGGCCAGCTCAGCCCACCAGGGGGCGGGGCTGGCTGGCATGTGGTGCTGGGGAATTGAACCGCGGTCCCTGTGCTTTGCTAAGCTTGTTCTAAGCAGGTGCTTTAGACCACTGAGCCATCTCACCAGCCCCTGTGCGTCTATTTTTAATGTAACTGTCTTTATTACTTTTCTCTGGTTGCTGAGACAAAATACCCAATATCAAGAGTTGAAGGGGGAACGGTGTGTTGGGCTCACCATCTGTCGAGGTTTCAGCTCAGATTGGGCTGGCTCCAAGGCTGGGTGGCACAACAGCCACATACTGCAGAGGACAATTGGTCCATGGTGGGCAAAAGGGAGACAGCAAGCAAGGGACCTTAGCGGCTTGCTCCTGGCCCTTTATACTCTATCTAGACTTAGGGTGGTGCCAGACCAATCAGTGGGCTAATCTAGCAGTCACACACCCCAGTCCCAGCATCACACACTCTAGATCCAGCCACCTGGACTGCGTGAGGCTTTGGGGACATCCAGACACAAGCCACAGCAGGGACCCACTTCCTAGGGGAGGCTCATGGTCTTTTGGCCCAGCTTGGATAAATTACACATTTCAAGTTGGAGGTTTATGTTTTGTTTGTTTGAAAGTGATCTTTACTAACTATGGGAATGAAAAAAAAATTCTTTAAAAGAATCTGGTAGCTGGATGTGGCGGCACACATCTGCAATCCCAGGGCTCTCGAGTCTGAGGTGGGAGGAGGGTAGCCACGAGGCCAGCTTGAGGCCAGCTTGGGCATCATAGCAAGACTGTGTCCGTGCTCAAAAACAAACAGACAAACAAACCAAAAAAAAAAAAAAAAAAAACCAAACTGGTAACTTTCCAGGGAAGTTGGAAAGCTGTGATATATTTTCTGAAGGAGGTTGGTGGAAGAATGTGGGGTATAGCATTATCTGGGGTCAGGTTCCCATGAGACCCAAGCACCAGTGACTCCCTGAGGGACAGCAGCAGGAAGAAGCCAGTGAGGGTCCCTCGAAGCAGGAGGGGAGGGGGGGAGGAGGAAGCCCAACAAAGATGTGACCTCAGAATCCCAGTCTCTGTTGCTCCCCGAAGGCACAAGCTACTCCTCGTAGTGGTCCCCACTTGCCTCAAGGAAGCTGAGGTTTATATTGTACTTGGGACTGTAAGGAGCGTGGGGTGGAGACAGGCTGACTCCCAGGCACAGGGAACAGGAAAGGCAGGACTCAGAGGGACTTGGTGCCCACAGTCCGCCTGACACAAATGTGCATGGTGGAATCACCTTTTGTCCTCCTTCCCAGAACGCTTCCGCTGTACTGGCTAGCGATCCTGCATAACAAAGAGCCCCAGACTTTGCAGCCCACGGGGATGTTTGCTCTCTCTCCTAGCTTCTGTGGGTCAGGAAGCCTGTGGTTCTGCCTTTTTTCTGAGCTTCCTAGTCAAGCTGCTGACCAGGCATGGAGGCTCTGCTCCCAAGCTCCTTGCCCCTTGGGCCTTCCTAAAGCTGTCAAGTGTCCCCACAACACCATCCCCAGAGTGAGGGGCTGGACAGTGACTGACGCCTCCCTGCCTTTTAGACCTTTACACCATTAAGCTCATCTCTGTCCTGTGCCAAGCTCTGTCTTCAGGCGTAGTGACACGTGGTGATACAGGGCTGGTGCCACCAAGAGGTGGGCTACTACATGTCCTTTAGTTCTGTGCTGGCAGTGCAGACTCCAGCATGTGCAGATGCTGAGGTCCCCGCCCAGCCGTTGTTGCCAGCCCCTCATCCCTTCCTGGTCCCTTGCAGATCCTCCGCCTGCTGCTGACCCACAGAAGCCAGGAGAGAGAGCAAACATCGCAGTGGGCTGCAAAGTCTGGGGCTCTTTGTTATGCAGGAGCAGCCTGGGTACCACCCGTGTCCTTGCTCACACATAGCCCTCACTGTCTCCATCCTCTGTGCGTGAAACTGGCTGCTAGTGACAGTGGCCAAAATAGAGGGGGCCATTATTCCACACTGTGGAGGTCCTAATTGGGAGGTTTTACAGTCGCATGAGTGACAGCATCAGGACTCCTGCAGAGGTGCCAATTAGCTGTGTCAGAAAGAATGGAAAGCCAAGGGCTCCTGGACCCTCTCCCCACGCCAGCTGCCCCCAGGCTCCTTTGGGTGTCTGCAGCAGCAGCAGATCCCTCCTTGTGTCCAGCACAGTGATGCCCTCAGGCCTTTGTTTAAGGTCAAAAGGAGTGACTTGTCTGTGGGCTCTTATGCTGCAGCAGGATGACAGCCTGGAGACGTGGCTGCAGCCAAAGAGCCAGGGACTCTGAGTGGCAGCTTTTTATAGCATCTCTTAATCCAAGCCTGGGCCTTGGGCTCCACATGCAGCTCACTGGAGAAATTTCTGCCAGCGCTGAAGGCGGGGACAGAGTTCCCAGGATGCAGTCCCCACGTGTTCGCAGCCCTGGCTGGCCATGCAGAGCCAGGCCAAGCCCAGCTCTCTGAGAACAGAGTGCCCACGTCACAGCCCCTGTGGAGTGACCCATTTTTCCTGCTGATGCCCCTCAGCAACCTGCAGAGAGGGTAATCCTTTGCCAGCTGGGAGCTTTTTCATCAGTGGCATATACTTTCCTTTTCTTCTTTCCCTTTTTGAGTCTGGGTCTTGCTGCGTACTCCAGGCTGGCTCAAACTTTTAGACTTGAGCCATCCTCTTGTCTCAGCCTCCCAAAATAGCTGGGCTGCAGGTGGGCACCAATCATACCTCACCACATTGTCTTCCCCAGTGGATGTCAGCTCCTGGATGCCGAGGGATGCAGTGAGAGTAGCCCAGGTCCCCAGCGCCCCTGCCACCTGCCCAAGTCCAGGATCTCGGCCAGAAGTCAGTTGGCTCTTGGACCTATGGTCCATCTGCAGAGTACACGAGGGGGCTGGCGCCCAATGCTGGGCTCCTAGGACACTGAGTTTATAGTACAGGACTTCCTAGGCAGCTGCCAGGGAAGCTGTAGCTCAGTGCTCTGATTCACCAAATAAGGGATTTTCTGGTGGAAACCAGAACTCAAACCGTGGAGTCCTCCCTAAATATTTATTACCTGCAGGAATGCACCAACAAATAGACCCC